TGTTCCTGAATTAGGGACACTGGAATACAGAGGCTATAATATACTAGTTTTTGGGCCTGGAGAATGGAGAGCACCTGGCCATGACCCCTCTGAGGAAGGGCAAGAGTTGTTGGTACCAGGTGCTGATTGGGGCACCTTGGACTGACTCCTTCCCATCACCTCCCCACTACGGTTGTTCTGGCACCTCTCAGGTGTTTCCAGCACAGTATATGCTGTTTCTGCATTGGCAGCACTATGGGCCCAGACTTAAAATATTCATGGATTCCGTTATTTCAGCAAGTTGCTATAATTTTCCTGAGTACTGCAAGTGACAAAAAGGATCAGATAATTTTGAAAAGTTTCTCAGAGCAAAACCTAAAAAAGACAAAGAAAAGCACTTTTCTATCCGGAAGAGTAGATATTCTCTCTTCCCATCCCCCCTAACAAATTTCAGAGGCCTACAGCAAACAAACAATGAACTCAGAGCTTTTCAAAAACTGGGCTGCAAAATGCTTTTATAATGAAATTGTTAGGCAGACTAAATATATATTGTGTTCAGCTCCATCCATAAATTATTTTGTACTGGTTATGTTATACTTAAAAAAACCCAACAAACCCCTCTTAAGATACAAAAAGCCTAGAACACTTGTTGACCCCAAACTTATTTTTTTTTTTCATTTTTGTCTATACCTATTCCAATAAATTATTCTTGGAAAGATGACTATATTGTAAAATGAATTAACTGCAGTGTATATATTGTATGGTTTTTATACATGTTAATTTTTCTTCTACTTTAGATGAAAGCACTGATATTAAGCATACCAATATTCATTTCAATAACACCATACATAAAATAGCTGTTTTGGCTGTTTGAGGAAACCTTGCATGACCAGGGAATTGTCCTTTTTGTCCCAGAACCTAGAACCTTAGAAATCTTATCATTCACTTAGATTCCACGTATTTTCCATTTATACCAATTCTGTGATTTTTCTTACGCCTATACAGGGACTGTATAGTAAGAAACCAACTAAGAGGTTCTTTTCCTAACTAATATCCCAAAGGTATAAGGTACTTCTAAAGTAAAGAATAATAAATAGGGATGAAGACTTTAACAATAGGGGGGAAAAGAGCAACCAATACATTAAACATAAAGGTGTGAAGAACATTGAAAGCTAATATAATTTGCATAATTTCTTAGAAGTAAGGTGCGTACATGTATAAATCAATCTGGAAGAAATCAAGCTAGTAAAGACATTACTTCTAGGGGAAGATAATGATGAACATTAAGTGGAAGAGAGAAACTTGAAAGGTAATGGTAAGAGAAGATCTAAGAGATGTAGTAGATTATTATATGAGAGGCTGCAGTGTAATAAATGGTTTGAGAGGGAAGATAAAAGCAATTTCAGACAACGTATGAAAGAAGCATCACTTAGACAAAGGTGGTGAAAGGGAAGGTGATGGGGGAGGCATGCCCCTCCATGCCAGGCATACTAAGTGTATGCATACATGCTCAGCCTGGCAGGATCCAAATGTGCAGGGGCTTAACGAGGGAGGATTCACATGTGGGGAGCGAGGGTTCAGTGTGGTGCATTCTGGGTATGGGCAGCTCAATGTGGGTCCTGGGTGCAGGGGGGATGTGGAGGCACAGGGGCTTGCTGGGGAGTTCTGGGTGTAGGCGAAATGACATTCTCGGGGGGGGGGGGGGGGGGTGTCCAGGTGAAGGTGGTTGAGGTTTAATGAAGGGAATCTAGGTGTGTGCGGCTCAGCAAGGAGGTCTGGGTGCTGGGCTACTGGGTCTTATTGAGGTGGGGATCCAGGTGAGCTGGCTGGGGATCAGTGGGATGGGAAGTGTGGCAGGCTCATTGGGGTGCTTCAGGTGCAGGGGGAAAGCTTGTGGAACTCTGTGGGGACTAGGGTGCAGGAGGACTTGGTGGACAGGGGAGCAGGAGGGTTGGGCGGGAGGGGAAGTGCAGAGATTCCTGCAAGCAGGGGAAGGATTCTGGGGGTGGGTCTGACCCAACTGTAGCTCTGGCTGCTCTTTGCATGAGAAGAAAAGTCCTGTCCTCCCCTGCTCATAGCCCAGCTGGGTAGGTGTATCCTCAATCCCCAACCCCCTTCCCTCACTGTAATTTACCTCTTCAATGGCTGCCCAGGTGCCTGAAAATACACTGCTGGGGAGAGGCACATGACCACTTTTGTGGCATCCATTTGCTTCCCCATCAGAAGCAACTTTTCTGAGGGGAAGCAAATAAATCAGCAGTGAGGGGCATGAATTCTGTGCATGCACAGTGCTGCAGAATTCCTTGAGGATAAATTGGAAATTACTGTGATTTTTTTAAAAAGGTGGTAGGCGATTACTGCCACTGAATTGGATGCTGGAACCTTCATTGCCAGAAAGGTATTGACAATGAGGAGAGAATCACAGATCCTCCCTGCCCTTCACCCCAACCGGTAAGAGGTTAAAAGGAATGACCCTTAAGGAAAGATTAAATTATATGGGTAGTTTGGCCTAATGCCAACAAAGACAAGGTGGGAGAAGTGTAATATGTGAAAGAACTAAAGCTTGCCCATATTTGAAGATTAACTACCAGCAAGTTAACTCATGAATTTAGGAAGATCGAAAGGGATATACAAGAATACTGGTAAAAGCCAGGCAAAAATAAAATTCAGACTGAATATCAGTTACGACTTAAGAAGATAATGAGATTTTATATCATCTTCTCAAGGAGGACAGTGGAAACTCAAACTATACAGGATTAGGTGCTCAAGTGTACACTTTGGGATCACTCTACAGGGCAGGTAAGATTTGAAAGCTTTAGTATTCATGCTTTACCAGCCCTCCTCTCCATTCTTGCAGACATACTGTTTTCAGTCTAGGAGTGGATCTGCTTTGCAGCAAGTCAACGCCATTCCTTAATAAAACGGAAGGATCAATGAAGCAACATAGCACTCTCCAAATACAATGTGTGAAAAGTATTTTCTCAGTGGTATTCTAAGCCCCTGCTAGATTAGGGCGCTGAAGACCAGGAAAGGTAAAACTAGTTTATTCCAGCCAAATGAAGAATGCCAACAATCAATTTTCTTTGGTAATGTTTGAAGAGAGACATCTCTTCGAACACCCAGCAAACATCCCTTATTTCACAGAACCATAGAATACTAGAACTGGAAGGGACCTTGCCCTCATTGCAGGACCAAGCACCATCTAGATCCGTGGTCCCCAACACGGTGCCCGCGGGTGCCATGGCGCCCACGGGGGCATTTCCATGCGCCCGCCAGGTGCTCAGGGCTGGCCTGGCCCCGGGCGTGCGGCGCTGGGCGGGGGGAGCACCAGCCCCGGGCGCGCGGTGCTGGGAGGGGGGAGCGCCAGCCCCGGGCATGCAGCTATGGGGGGGGCTGCCCCTGGGGCGCAAGTGTCCCTGGCCCCTGGCGCCCGGCAGGCGAACGGCCACACCCCCTGGCGCCCGACAACCTCGAAAGGTTGGGGACCACTGATCTAGATCATCCCTGATCGAGGCTTATCTAACCTGGTCTTATATCCAATTATAGAGATTCCACAACTTCCTGGGCAATTTATTCCTGTCTTTAACCACCCTGTGCATTAGGCAGTGTTTCCTAATGTCCAATCTAAATCTTCCTTGCTGCAATTTAAGCCATTGTTTCTTGTCCTATCATCACATGTCAAGGAGAATCATTTTTCTCCCTCCTCCTAGTAACATCCTTTTAGGAACTTGAAAACTGCTATCATGTTCCCTCTCTGTCTTCTCTTTTCTAAACTAAACAAACCCAATTATTTCAGTCTTCCCTCTAGACCAGGGCTACTCAAATATGGAAGCCCTGGGGGCCACAATGATATTCACAGCACATACTAAGGGCTGTAACTTAAGTGTAGTTGCATATACATGCAAATATATAAGCAAATATATGCAAATAGCTTCTTTCACACAGTACTCCCGGCATCTTCTCCCTGGGGACTAGAAACACTGACAACGGGTACCTGTCTGTTCCAGCCAGCTTGTGTGCTTGTGTCTTTCAATGCTCACCCCACTTGGGAGTCGCCTTGCTGTTATGGAGCATGTTCCCAGTGGAGGCCATGTTGAAAGGATCCCACCCATGGCCGTGTGTTGAGCGCCGTGTAAACCCAAACTGCCCCGAGGGCCACAAACAAATGGGCCATGGGCCGCATGTGGCCCATGGGCTGCGTGTTGAATAGTCCTGCTCTAGACCTTTAATTATTTTTGTTGCTCTTCTCTGGACCCTCTCCAATTTCTCCACTTATTTCTTGAAATGTGGTGCCCAGAACTGGACATAATACTCCAATTGAGGCTACTCAGCACAGAGTAGAGCAGAAGAATGACTTCTCATGCCTCTCTCACAACAGTCCTGTTAATGCATCCCAGAATCATGTTTGTTTTTTTGCAACAGTGTTAGACAGTTGACTCATATTTAGCTTGTGGTCCACCATGATCCCTAGATCCCTTTCTGCAGTATTCCTTCCTAGACAGGCACTTCCTATTCCGTATATGTGAAACTGATTTAGATTGGAGTAATTTAAGAGAGACACTGTTTTGTAAACCTATCTTTTCAGGCACTTATCTTTTGTAACAGATAGGCATAACTATCCTAATAAACAGAAAACAAGATTCTGGGAATCTACTTCAAGCTACTTAGCTGGATATTTGATGTCGAAGCCAATGCACCAGAGGATTGAGGAGTTACTCTAGATTTATACCTTGAACAAAGTCTATTTTAATATGCATGACCATTTAAAAAGTTATTTTATTGTATAATACCAGAGATATTGCTGGCAAAAACCTCTGCCTCCCTCCTTTCCCCTAGTGTATTAGGTGATGTATTTTTGCCACTAATTCATAATCCCATTTCTTAACCAAGCAAAATTTATTAAATAAATAAGAACATGACTAGTAGAAATGTTTTGCCATAGTCTAATATGGAGCATAACTATTGTGAAAATCTCTCTCTTAAAAATGTAGCATAAAGAAGCTTAGAAAAAGAATGCTTACCGTAAGTGAGAATGTAAAGTGGTTTTCCATTAGTGTCCATAGTGGTTAGGCAAGGAGCTTTTGGCGAAATGGTCCCCCATCGCTGCAATGCTGCTTCCAAAGAAGGTGGCCAATTTGTAACTACACCCAATTGTTCCCCACGCATAGCCAGCATCTGAGCTCCCTCTGGCTTTGGCTGGTTTGGATCCGGCTGTTGAACTTATTATGAAAACAACAAAACCAACTGTTACTATATGAATTTTAAGCCTTGTTTATGCCCACATTACCAAGAGAGCAAGTTACCTTTATAAAAATGACTGAAAATAAAATGTTAGTACACGTGGAGAACACTGAATATGTTCTTAAATAAGTATTATGTCAAATAAATAAGATGTGGAGAAGTATAGCAAGTTAACTCTTACATTTCCCGCAACTGAGATGAAGCAATAAACAGTCACATCAAGGTAAATTTTTCCTTTTAAAAGAGATTGAAAATTACAAATTTCCAAAAATGTATTAGTTAGGCAGAACTACAGGTAAATGGTAATGTAATAACTCAACAATAGTACATTGGTTTAAGTTATATAGTTTTATAGTGCTTTGCTATGTGCTTGTGTTAAAATAATTGACTCGCCATATTATTGCAACACATCATGGTCTGCAAGCTTGTTTTTAAAAAACAACTGCATAATTATTATTCACTTAATTATTGTCTCTACCACTTTTCCAGATATTATTTTCAATTATTTTATTAACAAATATGTAACATGTACATCCTCCTTCACTCCTACTTCATCTCCTTCATACACTGGGTCTTTTCAGACTGACCCAGATGTGTGACAGGAACAGATGTAGCACACAGCAAATACTTTCAGAACAGATTTTTTTTCTCCACTCTCTTTCATATTTCATTCTAAGCAGAAGTTCACCACAAGTTGGGAAAACAAGGTGGAACTCGGATTTTATTCAGTCCACCCAAGTCCAATGCTCTCTCAGAAGCAGTCAGTCAACCTAAGACATGCCTACTAAAAAGTAGTAGTACATGACAAATAAAAACACATTTTATCAAGTGTTAATTAGGTTCCAAAACCTTTTGAAAAACAGTCATTTTACCTTCTAACAATTCCTCAAAGTCATCTACAAAGAACTCTCGTAATGGTGGTCGTTTGGGTCGTTTTAAGGTATTGACCAGCTGTTGAATCTTTGCTGACACTCTGCTGCTCACTGGTACTCCTGCAGAATAGGGATCAATGGAGATATCAGTAGACTGCTAAAGCTGCGCGCCAACAAATGTCAGTTGGGAGGTGAGAAAAAGGCCAGAACTGTAACGCCACCACAACTACATTTTCATGCCATACAGTGACTCAGCAGAATGTATTCAACATTAAGACACTTAGATAATGGTTTCAAAATTAACGTGAAGTTTGGTTCAAAAACCAAATATACCCAGAACAAACAACACAGCAGTTTCAGAAAGTGAGTTAGTTAAAGTTAAGGGGGAAACATCATGGGAGCTGTGGGGGGAGAGGAGCACAGTGAAAAAACATTCCCTGACAATAATGTATTTCAAAACGCTGAATTTGAGGTGGCTTTGGTGATGGCTAGTGAAGAGTCAGTAATCCAAGCACAGGCTTCTCTCTCAGCCACTGGCGTCACACCAAAGCTACATGACTAAAGAGTTTTCATCACACTGCAGCTGAAACTACAGGTGCAGTCAGCAAGGAAAGCTGGTCATAGGTTTGTATCTCGTCATTCATTTTGGGCTGCCTTTTACATAACAGCAGACTTCTGTCCTGAGCCCCATCCTGTGTCTGTTCACACTATCATGTTACTTCACTGTAAGGGTATATCTAGACTGCATCCCTCTGTCGGCAGAGGGATGCAGATTAGGCAGGTTGTCATTGCAAATGAAGCGGGGATTTAAATATCCCGTGCTTAATTGGCATAAAAATGGCCGCCATTTTTGCCGACTCAGCACTTTGTCAGCAAAAAGAGGCAGTCTAGAGGGGGATCTGTCGAGAAAGAAAGCCTTTTTCAACAGATCCCTTATGCCTCCTGCAAGGAGGTTTACAGGATCTGTCGAAAAAGGCTTTCTTTCTCGACAGATCCCCCTCTAGACTGCCTCTTTTTGCCGACAAAGTGCTGAGTCGGCAAAAACGGCGGCCATTTTTATGCCAATTAAGCGCGGGATATTTAAATCCCCGCTTCATTTGCAATGTCAACCTGCCTAATTGCATCTCTCTGTCGGCAGAGGGATGCAGGTCTAGACATATCCTAACTGTCAGTGTAATCCTGGAATAGCCCTAGAGCGCATCCCATTGGCAAGTAGGTAAGGATCTTGCAATAGCAATCTCCAGAAGTTAACATGTGTGTTTACACAGCATCTAGCCAAACACGATCCTGATTGGGGCCTTCGGCGCTTGTTATTTTCCTCCTTACTTATGCTTGATAGTGCACATTATCTCTGTAACATACATGACACCTGCTCCTGAGATATAGCCTCTAATAGCATTGAAGAAGAATCACCTTCCTGCTTTTTCTCCCAAGCTACATTAAAGCAGTAGTTGTTTCTATAGCTGAAGTATATCTAAGATAGGACTTTTAAGGCCAAGCATATGTTGTTGCAATTTCATTTAATCTGTTTTAGAAAAGAGGAGCAATAAATAAGGAAGGTTTTACAAATAACTGTTTTTCAAAAAAAAAATTCAGAAAAAACTTTGCACAAGTCATCTTAAGATGCAGCCCTGTTGTACATCAGATACTCTGTCATTTGAAAACAGAAGAGCTTCATACAGTACCTAGTGTTTAGCTTTCGTTACACATCATTATGAAATTAGATCTAGAGAGAATCACTTTTATTTTACTGAACTTTAGCAAATATAATTTTTTTCTATAGGGAATCTGCCCCACTGATTAAGAAACAATTTATTTATACTGAATATTGGCTTCACATATGCTGGTTTATTTTAGGACGCAAAGAAAGCTTGTACGTGCTCTTCAGTGAAATGTGGCCAAAGGAAATAAAAAGCAGATGTGTACAGTAAACCACATAAAAGGGGTAAGTTACAATGTTAAAGAAAACAATTGCTTTGTGACATACCATCACCAGTTTCCATAAGTTCAGCATTGCCATATTTTGGTGCCACCCTTGCTGTTGATCCTTGTGGTCTTTCTACTTGTATTGAGTGTTCTGAGGTGTAAGTAGTAACATCTGGAGGGGCAGAATGATTTTCTGTGAAAAATAAGTTAGAAGGTTTAACCATGTTCCTCTAGATTTGAAGTGGGGAAAGAAGGGAATGGGGGAGAAGAGGAGAGATTCTACTCATGTTCTTCTTACACAAGACCTGAAAAGTTGTTAACATTAATCTATTTGGAAGGTGTAAAGCATAATTTTATCCAACATAGTTTCAATATATGAAATTTTCACTGATAGAAAATCCATGAGAGCCACATAATACAGAATATTATAATCAAAGGGGTTTTTTACTCCACTCCCCATCCGAACCCCCAACTTTAATTTTAAATTAGTTTAATTTTCTGTGGCCAAATCTAGTTAGACTCAGACACATACACTTCTGATAGATTATTGTAGCAAGATTTCAAAATAGAAAGCTACAACATGTTAAGTTCCAGCACTTGCAATTGCCAATGCAAATCAACTAGATATACAATACTTAAAATTCAAGATTTTGATCAAACAGTTTCTGTTAGATCAAGATTTTTGAAGATGTGATACCATTGGAAAGTGTATCTAGAGGAAAGAAATAAAATATAATTTTCATGTTTCTTTACAGTCTGCATGGACACTTTTCTTATTATTACTTGACTATTTTTAAACAGAACTATTTTCAGTTCTTTACATAACACAGACTTGCCATCCAAGAAGGCAAACAGAACTTGATGATGTGAGTCATGATGTCACTAAACTATTCCATCGCACTAATCTTCCTCAGCATGTATCCACAGATTAAAACATCTGAAAATACAGTCTGACTCTGGATTGTCCGCACATTTGTACTGTATTTACAGATTTTATGTCATGAATTTTTCCAGTTTTTTAGCAATATTAAGCTTCCTGGAAACAAATACAATTAACATTTAATACGTTTTCTGTTTAATGATAACTATCTAAAGCCTTTCAGACAAATAAGTCAGGATCCTGGACTGCTGCCAATGAAGGCACAAGGAATACATTCCATTCAATAAGGATAGGATCAGGCTCTTTAGAGAAACAAAGTATATCATAGGATCTCACCAGATTCCTATATGATTGAAGATTTTATGTTTATACTTAATTTGTCTCACATACAGCTTACTTGTTATAGGATTTCCCTTTCGAGGTTTGTGCAATGGAAAGATTTGCTTCTCTAATTCTGCTATTTGGCTCCTAAACATCAGCAGTAACTACTACTCATAATAATCTATGCTAAAAGTAAATCCATTATTTGTGTAGTACATGAATTAGTAAACATGAATTAGTATAAAATAGGATATTCTCTGAAGGATCCTTTAATTCATCTTCTGATAACTACCCTGAAGCAATTGGTCTTTTTAAGCACACTTTGGAGACATTTAATACTGCTTAGGAATTTTCTATACAGTTTCTAAAAATAAAGATATTTGAGAGATGCAAACTTTACACAGATCTATAAATTGAGTATTCATGAAGTTCCCTTATACAGTTTTAGTAAGGAAGTAGCTTTATCAGACAGAAATGCATTTAATTGATTCATTTCCTTCTATGCCAAGTTTTCCTTGGTTAAGCCAGAGTAGACTCTTACCATACTTCCTGCCTTTCCTATGCATTGGTATAGTTTGATCTTGTGCTCTTATAATGTCTTTTTACAAATCTGCCAACTTCCCTGAACTCTTTTATCCCATAGACTGGCTTCTCGTGGGACCTTACCTTTCAATTCTCTGAGGTTACTGAAGTCTGCCTTCTTGAAATCCATTGTCTTTATTCTGCTGTTTTCCCTCTTACCGTGAACTCTTATAATTTCATGATCACTTTCAGCTAAGCTACTTTCCACTTTCAAATTCTCTGATAGTTCCCTAGTGTCTGACAGAACCAAAACCTGATTCTAGTCATTTTCTCTGCTGTAGGTTACAAAAATCCATCTCCAAAGCATTCCAAGAATTTGTTAGATAATATATGCTCTCTTGTATTATTTTCCCAGATGCTATCTATGTAGTTGAAGGCCCCTCACCACCAAGTCCTGTGTTTTGAATTATATTGTTTGTTGTTCTAAAAAAAAGAGTCTCATCTGCCTCTTCTTCCTGATTAGGTGGTCTACAGTAAATCCCCTACTATGACATCACCCTTGCTTTTTACTTTCATCTTATCCAGAGGCTTTCAACAAGTCTGCCTCTTCCACTTCTCTCTGGATGGTGGGCTGGGAGCAGGGATTGAGCGCCACCTGCTGCTAGTGGTAACCAGCATCGAGATTCCTCTCTGTGAAGGAGCAGTTCCCACCTTCCAAAATGCCATGAAAGTCCTGTGCCCAGGAGTCTCAAGAAGGTGAGCACATTTTAACATTCATGCATTTCAGAAAGTGGGAAGCATGTGCTACCAATGCAAATAACTAATTTCTGTTGTAAATATACCTCTGTTGTGAATGCTTCTTCTTTGAGACCAATACATGACTTATATATCCTTAACAGTAGACATGACATAATTTCAAAGAGCCACCGAAAGGATGAGCATAGCTCAACCTGTTTCAAGACAAGATGGGATAACTCGAATCCAGTTACTGACATGATTCTGATTCAGTCTATTGCTGTAACTTGATTGAAATAGTCATCTGAATGTGTTCCACATCTGATCATCTGAATGCATGAGAGCTTGCACTGCATAAGAGAGTTTTCACTGCTGTATCAACATAAATTAGTTTTAGTCATCTAATCCATTACTTATATTATGGTGCAATGTTTGGCATTGCTTGTTATAGGGCAGCTTTTAATAGTCCTGACTGATTTTTCTATCAACTAAAAAATTAAAAGAACAGAAGTTTTATCTTCTGCCTTTAATTTAGAAGGGAGAGTTGCTATATAAATAGAAAGGATATCATGATTAAGAAAATAATGTTTAGTTCAGCTGCTTCCATCATCTTCTGTTACTCTGTGGGTAGCCAATCCTAGCGCTTGAAAGTAATGGAAGTAACAAGCCAAGGGCAACCTCTTATCACATTTAGAACCACAGAATCACAGAAATGAAAGGAACCTCAAGAGGTCATCAAGTCCAGTCCCTTACACTCACGGCAGGACCAAACACCATATAGACCACCCCTCATAGATGTTTATCTAACCTGCTCTTAAAAATCTCCAATGATGGAGATTCCACTACTTGCCTATGTAATGTATGCCGTTCCTTAACTGCCCTGACAGTTAGGAAGTTTTTCCAAGTGTCCAATCTAAACCTCCCTTGAGCAATTTATGCCCGTTGCTTCTTGTTCTATCACAAGAGGTTAAAAAATAATTTTTCTCCCTCCTCCTTGTAACAACATTTTAGGTAACTGAAAGCTGTTATCATATCCCTTCTCCGTCTGTCCTTTTCCAGACTAAACAATCTCAGTTCTTTCAATCTTCTCTCACTGGTCATGTATTCTGGACCTTTACTATTTCTTGTTGCTCTTCTCTGGGCCTTCTCTAATTTATCCACATCTTTCATGCTCAGAACTGGACACAATACTCCAGTTGAAGCCTCATCAGCACAGAGTAGAGAGGAAAAAATATTCCATGTGTCCTGCTTACAACACTCCTGCCAATACATCCCAGAATGATTTTTTTTTTTTGCAGCAGTGTAACACTGACACACATATTTAGCTTGTGGTCCGCTATGACACCAGGATTCCTTTCTCAGTACTCATTCCTAGGCAGTCGTTTGCCTTTTTGTGTGTCTGCAGCTGACTATTTCTTCCTATGTGAAGAACTTTGAATTTCTCTTTATTGAATTTCATCCTATTTACCTAAAATATTTTCTCTAGTTTGTCCAGATTATTTTGAAATATAACCCTATCCTCCAAAGTCCTTGCATCCCCTCCAAGCTTGGTATCATCCTCAAACTTTCTGAGTACTTTCCATACCATTATTTAAATTGTTGTTGAAGATATTGAACAGAACTGTAATGCCAAACTGATCCCTGCCAAACCCCACTTGTTAAATCCTTCCAGCATGACTATGAACAGTTAAAAACTACACTATGGGAATGGTTTTTCAATCAGTTATGCACTCATCTTATAAATGGCTCCATCTAGGATGCATTTCCCTGGTTTGTTAATGAGAAGGTCATGCTAGACTGTATCAAATGCTTTACTAAAGCCTGATATGCCACCCACTTCACCCTTATCCACAAGTCTTGTTATCCTGTCAAAGAAAGCTATGAGGACGGTTTGACATTATTTGTTCTTTACAAATCCATGCTACTACTTATCACCTTATTATCTTCTAGATGTTTGCAAATGGACTCCTTAATTATTTGCCCCATTAGCTTTCCTGGCACAGAAGTTAAGCTGAGTGGTCTACAATTTCCTTAGTTGTCCCTATTTCCCTTTTTAAAGATGGGCACTATATTGGCCCTTCTCCATTCTTCTGGAATCACTCCCATTCTTTCATGTCTTTTCAAATATAGTGAGCTAATGGCTCACATTTCTCCTCAGTCAGCTCCTTGAGTATTCTAGGATGCATTTCATCAGGCCCTGGTGACTTAAAGACATCTAACTTGTCTAAGTAATTTTTAACTTGTTATATCTCTATTATAGTTCTGAATCTATCCCATTTTCACTGGTGTTCTTGTCTCCCCTCAGTCTCGTCACCACTATCTACCGTTTATCTTCATAAACAATGAGGGCTAGATCTACAAAGAGATTTAGATGCCTAAATGACACTGGAGGCTCCCAAGTTAAAAACATAAAACCTCAAAATTCCCACTCAGCTGCCATCTAACCTTGTAGCTGCCTCAAGTCTCTACATGTGTATGGTTCTGCTAGTAAAGTGTCTTGGGCACCTAAAAATTGATCACAGTTAAGCTGTTGGTGTGTAGAGACCACAGCCAATCATGCTGATCAATAATATCTCAATGTTTCCTTGTACTGCCCTATCTATCTGATCCATTGGTTGTCTCTTGTCTTACACTAGGGTAGGAGCAGTCTTTTTGTTCTGGTGCTGCACATCGCCTAGCAAAACAGGGTTCTGATCAATGACTGGGACCCCTTAGGAGCTATGTTGATATTCATT